AGATCAACATGGATGACACGAATCGAGATCTAGTAAGCTTAATTTCAGTGATTCTCCTGCTTATCATTCGACAGTCTTCCATAAACATAACAGTCCAGCAGTTTTTTGCGAGAAGACACCGAAGAAGGCGCTTTCGATTACGCTACCTGCAAGGTTTATCGGCATTGTATTTAAATTTACGAGCTCGTCGCCAATTTGCTCGCCGGCCTAGAAGAGCTTGGGTATTTCCACGACCACAGAACTGGTTTCAGGAACTTCTAAATAACAATGCACTGGATCACTGGTGGAAAGAAAACTTTAGAGTTTCGCGCGATACCTTTGAATATATATGCCAGCTCGTTGGACCGGCGCTCCAGCGGCAAAACACTAGGATGCGAGATGCCATTCCAGTTCCAAAGCGCGTCGGTGCAAGCCTCTGGCGACTAGCTACTGGAGAGTGCTACCGCTCGTGTGGACTGATGGTTGGGTTGGCAAAACCGACTGTTGTAAAGTGTTGCCATGAATTTGTTCAAGAAATATGCCGACTTCAAGATGAGTTTATCAAATTTCCTTCTACTGCAGCAGAGATAGCTAAAAAATTAAAGGCTTCGACAATAAAAGTAAATTACCTAATGTAGTTGGAGCAATAGATGGAAGCCATGTACCTATTAAGGCCCCGAAAATTAACCATGAAGACTACTTTAACCGGAAACATTTCTACAGTTTTTAGTACAGGAATAGTTGATGCCTCTGGCCTCTATTTATCCGTGGCCACTGGTTTTCCTGGAAGTCTACATGATGCTCGGATGCTGCGTTTAACTGACGTTTATTGGGCTGCTGAAGATGAGAATATCCTAATGGAACCTACATTTGACTTAGGCGGAACTGTAGTGCGCCCACTTATCGTGGGAGACACTGCTTATCCAAACAAAACCTGGCTCATTCGACCATTTAAGGATAACGGTGGGCTTACGCGCGACCAGAGGAATTTCAACCGAGAGGTATCCAAGGCGAGAATAGTATCCGAACATGCATTTGGTATGACCAAAGGAAGGTGGAGGGTATTACTTAAGCGCCTAGACGAAGACAGTGACAGAATACCTGACACTATCATCGCCTGCTGCGTGCTACATAACATTTGTGTTTTACGAGGAGATGAACTCGACATAGATGATAGTGATGATGATGATAGCGATGATGATGATGATGACGACGGCGGCCCCCCCTCCCAGGCTGCAGCTGCGGTTCTACAAGCCCTTGTTCAATACGTTGCAAATCAATAGACATATATCCCCTTGATTTTGTCCTCTTTGCGTCCTAATTATAGAAGGTTACGAAATAATTATATTTTGCTTTGCAATTTATTTAAGCAATCATATATCTGATCCCATTGATCCAAACCTGAAAGTAACAGCAGATTGAATAAATATGTATATATATATAGTAATATAAAATCAATCAAAAATGGTGTAGAATTTTACACGGGATAATTACAGGAAATATAAAAATTCTGTTTGCTAAACAACTGTAACGTCTATTATACTTAAGAAACAGCGGTTGTAACCATTGTACAGCACTGTGTATTTTAGTGTCCAAAATACTATTCAAGATCAATTAAAATTTCTTTTTGCAGTTTTGCAACAATCATGTAAACAGTTCCTTTTTTCTTTGGAATAAAAGTGCTGAGTTAAACCTATTTTTTGGAAGCAAATATGTCTCCGAGTTTTCCTAACACAGACACAACAAATTCTTGGTGTTGTCGCTGCGCTTCTGCCTGAGATTTGAGGAGAGCTTCAAAAACTCTCTCGTCATTCTCTTCGGATCTTTGGATGGCTGCTTGCTGTGACTTCATCATGTCAAGGATTGCTAGCTCCATGTCATCGCCGCTAAGCCTTTTCTTCTTCTTTTTTGGTCCTTTTTCATCCTTTTGCCCAGTTTTTCCAGTTTTCTCTGCATCCGCACTATCTCCTCCAGCAGAGCTGGGCGGCCGTTTCTCTGTTTTCTTACTGCAATCTTGATTTCCGGTCGATAAAATATCGTCGGTATCATCAGAGCTACAATCCTGTCGGTGGGCTTTCGTTTCCTTGACAAATCTTGATTCACTTTGTCTGATGAAGCCATAAATTCGTCGATGTCTTCATAGTGCTTGAACGTTTTCCGTTCCCTTCCCGTGCGATTGTTGTTATCACATACGCTTTTGTATTTATCCAAGAGCGCCCGCCACTTCTCCTTTAACTGCGCTAATGACTTTTCAGATTCCACGCCATTGTCAAAGCACATACTTTGAAACTGCTTCAAAATATCTTCCCATATGTTTTTTTTTTGGCTTGACTGCTTTTTGTCGACTTAAGTCTATCGTAGTACTCCTTAAAAGCGGCAATTAAGCATCTCTCTTCGGTCAACGACCAGCTACTGCGCTTGTTACGATCGTCGCTTCGGTTCGAGGATTCACTTGAGTTGGACTAGCGCTGTCCCTGTCTGGTTCAAACTGAAGGTGATTGCTAGTACCGGGTACAGGGTTCTGGTAAATCGGGTAGGGATTTAACATCGCTGGATAATGCAGTGGAGGCTGATTTTGAGCCATGCTAACACCATACAGGGTATTACCGGTGTTGTTGATTCCCTGCGGCCTTGTTTGATTTCGTGCCGCAAATAAATATCCGTTGTAATAGGGATCTTCATTTTGACTAGCGTTCCTATAAACAGATAAACAGAAAGATTATAATTTAATCAACTTCGTAACTGGCAGTCTGAAGGGCAAACTCATGAAAATAAATAAAGAAAGAAATACTCACAGTGATGCACGAAACCCTGCCATGCTACCTCGTGCTAGAAGTAGGCGCGAAATTAGCCAAGTGCTTCAGAGGTCACCTCAGAGCGCCTCACGCGATTTCCTGTATTAGCTGCGTTCTGCTTTATGATTGGCCAAGCCACCTCAGGGAGCAGATAAACCGTACTTTTCAGTTCAGGAACTGTCATGGGAAGTTCTTTTGTTCTTTTTGATGTATCCATGGAAATAACCCTAGGGCAGTTTCGGTCTGGGAAAAGCGGTTACACACAAAAAAGTCTTTTCCCGTGGGCAAACGCTATTTACCCATGGGTAAAAGGGCTAGTATAACCACGACTATTGTTTTGCGTCCTTGTAATCCTGCGGTCATCTACCTATACGTTAAGGATCACTTAGTTGTTAGCTCAAGAATATAAAGTATTGCTCTTGCGAATAACAACAGGCGCCTTCTCTCAACAAACCTCGCTCGGAGGGCACAGGTGAGACATTCAGGCCGCTACATTACAATAATTTAATAGCTCCGTCATAGCCAGTTAAACCGGCCAAAGTCTAAGCTTAACTCATTTAAAAGATTCTCCCTGAACATTTTTCCGTTTAATCTTTAATCTTTAATCGTTACAATAAATTCTAATACAATCTGACTAACATCCTAAAACCTAAAAATCCAAATCCTAACATTATATTAACTTACAACAATATGCCACTTAAGAGAACCTGATTCCCATGAAAGCCGTGTTTAAAAATTATGATAGAGAAGGCGTTTAAATTGATTTAATGAACCAGACTCTCTAATGTTACAGGGCAAGCTGTTCCAAAGCTTAATGCGCCGCTGTAACTAAAGCTATTTTTCATGTAGTTAGTTCTTGGAAGGGGGACAACAAGTTTGTTTACCCAGTTCCTCAAAGAATAATTTGATTCATTTCGCTTTATAAATTTAGACGTAAGATATGCGGGAACCAGCCCGTTTAAAGACTTGAAAACCAGTAAGGCGTTATGAATTCAAGTCTTTCTAAATGAGTTTGTGAAACAAGGAATCGACATCTACGTCAAAGTTTGATGAAGTTATTACTCGTGCAGCATGGTTTTGTGGTTTTTGTAGCTTGTTAGATAATGTTTTGCCACAATTACCCCATACTAGGCTGCAGTAATCAAAGGGAGATTGAACTAGTGAGTTGTATATATTGAGTAGGGCGGATTGAGGCATAAATGGCTTAACTGGCTTTATGGCTCCAATGCAGAAGCGATCTTTTTTCACAGTTTATCAATGTGGGAATGCCACGTTTAGTTTTCATCGATATATATTCCAAGTGATTTCATAGAGGAAACTTGTTCAATCGGAACATTATCAATAGATTGTTCGAGTGTATCAGGTAGAGTACTTAATCTTTGCCGGAGCCGATCAACATAAATTCAGTTTTTGTAGCGTTCAAGGTAGGTCTGTTAGACACAAGCCATTTGCTTAGCTTTTCAAGGTCGTGAGATAGACTAGACTGAATCAAATGCAAATCAGAACCAGCATAAGTAATGTGGGTGTCATCAACATACATTCTTGGTATGCTGAGCGATAGACAGTTGGGCAAATCGTTAATATAAATTAGAAATGTAAGAGGGACAAGGATCGCTCCCTGTGGCACACCACATTTAAGAGTGGTGAAGTCAGAGAGACAACCGTTAACTGAGCATCGTTATGTGCGATCCGTCAAATACGATTTAAACCAATCAAGAGTTTTACCTTGAATTCCACACCGATTCATTTTAGCTAGTGATATCTCACGATCAACAGTGTCAAATGCCTTTTTAAGTCGAGAAACACTACGGCATTGACGTAGCCACGATCTTCTGGAAGTACAGTAACAATTGAGTGTTTGACACCGGAAACCAGATTGTTGTTTAGAGATGATTTCTTCGCTATTTAAAAAGTTGTATAACTGATCGTACACAGTCTTCTCGAACACTTTGGCGACTACGGAAATGACTGAGATAGGTCGGTAGTTGTTTAAATCAAATGACTCGCCCTGTTTAAATAACGGAGTCACTCGGGCACATTTCCAGTCGTCAGGAAATATGCCAGAGATCAGAGATTTATTAAAGAGATCGTATAACCTGCCTGAAATAATATCAGTTCACTCACGAATCAACCTAGCAGAGATAATATCTAGCCCTGTAGCTTTAGTTTTTGACAATCTATTTAGATGGTAAAGACATCACTGGTAGTAGTTAGACGAAAACAGAATTTGTTGTAATTTTCAGTTATATTTTTTAAATAAATAGACTCCTCGTCCGAAGTTAATGGTGCTTCGCGCGCTATTCTGGGCCCAATAGTTAAAAAGTGTTCGTTAAAGGCGTTGGAAATCTCGTTAGAGTTACAGATAAAGATGTCATTTACTTTCACATCCTTTACTATCTCGTTGTTCTGACGACAAAACATGCGGTTGTTAATAGTTTTCCAAGTCCTTCGAGCATTTCCTTCGGATTGAATAAAACTATTGTGATAACAGGATGCCTTAGTGGTTTTCACTTTATTGTTGATTCGATTTCGGAGCTTTCCGTAATTGCCTCAGTCTTGAGGATTCTTTGTTTTTATCGCTTTCCTTTTAGCAGCATCTCGACAGCGCATACCTTTCTTCAAGGCTGAATTAATCCAGGGTGTTTTGTCCAATTTAGCACGTCTAGTTCGAAAAGGAGCTTGTGAGTTAACAGAGCTCAAATATTTTGTTTTCCAGTCAGACCATACCAAATTTGGATCTTCCGATTCACTGAACGACCAGTCATGTTGAGAGATTTCATTTCAAAAATTTTCACATAAAAAATGTTAAAACGTTTACTCTACAAGACGCGATTATAGCTAAAGCTTTACGATTCTGGCCTTTATTGTGGCAATAATCTCCTTGCAGGAGGGTAGAGATTTACGGGAAATTACCAGGTACTTGATATAATATTCGAAAAAGTGAAATTAATCAAGGAGACATAAGATAAACTACCATTTTTTCTTTTGCTTAAGACGTGTTCAAGTTTCATTACGGATACCATGACCCATGCAGCTAGAGGCCAGGACACTTACAGAGGCATTTGAAGTCCATGCTTCTTACTAGCAAATACCCAGTTTGTGATATGGAGAATAGTTGGTAAAAGTAAGAGCTGCCAGGCCCTCCTGTTCTCCTTGTAAATTTTTCCACGATCTCCCTCTCAAATGGCCACGGTGCCCACAATTGTTGTCACTCATACCATATGCGCATCCAAAGCTTTTAAACTAAAGATCATTTAGACATGTTTCAGCTTTTGGTCCTTAAATCGTTTGGTTACTCTTTCTGAAGATTTTAAAATTTACAGCGGATTCTTTTTTCCAACCAGCCTAATGATTTTTGCTTGTACTCGAACTCGCTTTTAGTGTAAACTGTTTTAACGTTGTTTAATCCATACGCGTAAGCTCACATGATTTTCCTTAGATGTCATACAATGTTAATGATATGCATAAGTTTAATTTCTACACCTTTCATGAGCTCGGTTTTGTAAATCCTTAATACTGAGAGTAAAGCTGTAAAAATTAAAATGTGTGGAATCCACCGTCATAACGTTACTATCCGCCTTCATTTTAATATTCGACTTTCTACAGTACTCATCCATTAATTGTCATTCACTATTTTTTGTTCCCCCATTGCAAATTTAGATATCTGTTTTAACTGATGCAGCCCCTTAAGAAAGCATTTAAACTGCAATAAACGTGTTTTACCTTCCATCTTTAGTTTGTAAATTTCCGAGTGATGTCTTCCTATGTCAGAGAAATGTGATAGCAAATGTCTATATATGTTCTTATTATATGGTGGTCCCTCAAGGCTAGTAAGATGAAGCGAGTCTTATGTTTTGATTGGCTACCCGAGAGGGCAAGATTGGCTTATCTTTAAATTTGTTTTCTTTAGAAAATCTGATTACTGTTCTTTAATCGACTTCAAATTTGGTGCAATTATGTAACTTGCTCAATTGACCCTCCTATTAAAAACATTCCTAAAACCGCCCGGCTTACTGGTCCCCAAGTTAGGAGTCATATGTGATTTTTTATAATGCTGGTGTTGAATACTACCTTTAAATTCTTTCCTTTCCATACAGGACCTCCAGGACCTCCCCAATACCTCAAAGCATTTAACACAAGTTACAACTACATACGTATTAAGTGGGAACCACCCCTCGAATTCTTTGATGGACCAATGAGCGGCTATATTGTAAAAGTGACAAACTTTGGGGACCCAGGTGCGGTGGTACGATTGGTATACTCCAGCTGCCGGACAGGAGGAATTGATATTACAGACCTCGAAGAAAAAGTAGCGTACTGTGTTTATGTGACAACATTTAATGAATATGGAAAATCGAACAGCAGTTCGTGTTTGCCAGTATTCACTGGAGAGAAAGGTTCGTTTCTTTGATTGATATTGATTGACTGATTGATTGGTTGATTTACTCTCCATGAAATTAGTGCAACTGAGAAAGAAAAATGACGATAGTAGCCGTAGCCGTAAGCTTCCCTGAGATGTGTTTAATATCATAGGGAGGCCGTAATGAATTTCGTTTTATTATTCTGCATTCAAAACATTTTCAAACTCAAAATCATTTCCACATATAATTTCTTCAAAACATTTTCCCGATCCTGGGCAGTTTCTTAATAAGAAAGCATGCTTCTTGGGCTGCCTGTGGTGGCAGAGCCGCAAATAAAGGTCTGAGTAGCTTGTATGACGAAAAAAGACAAATAGCGAAACCATAAAGAAGAGGACGTTTCGGGGGGGGCGTGTCCGATATAATCAAATGGACTTGGAACAAAAACAAAATTTCGGCGTGAAGTTACAACTAAATTTCACAGTCATTCGAATTCAGTATACCCCCGTGACTTCAATTCAGTGACCACAAAAAAAAGATTGAATTAAATTAAGAATTTAATGTGACTATAGTACAAATAAAAGTTTCAGTTTTCTGGCCTTAGCAAGCCATTTGTCTTTTCAATGCCTTTGAAAGGGGAAACAGAAACAAATTTTGCACAAAGAATATTTTTGCAGAATTTTGTCTCTTAGCACGCTCAAAAAGCATGCACTCATTGAAATGTTTGTCATTTTTCCAACTACATGTATTATAATGTTTTCAAGCGCTTATGAGTTAAAGCCACGTTTGAATAGTCAAATCCTTGATTACATTTTTGGCCTCATGAAACATATGCTTGTCACTATCTGATGGGCCCGATATACCGAACGGTTTCGGAAACTGAATTATTTTTGAAAAATCCCAATTTTTACAAAGAATGTGTGAGCTTATTATCGTTTTTGCCACTAGCAATTTCGCAATTTTTGATTGCTGCTATTTGCTTTGTTATTGGTTGAAAAGAGCTGAAACCCGCACAAACTGCTCAAATTAACCAGCTCTCTCTCAATAATTTGTATTTACGGCGAGGTGTTCTATGGTTTAGCTCTACGTATGCTAATAAGCAAAACAATGACGTCAGCAAGGATTCGGATATTAGCCATTTCCATATAGGCCGTAATGCACCTTATTTACCCCCTCATATTTTGCACATCCATTCTCTTCGATTTCTCTTAGGACGACTGTAATACACAGGAGAAATTGGAAGCAATAATGGTTATGCAAAATGGTGGGGGGGGGTTAAACAAGGTACATTTTAGTCCATGTCAAAATGGTGAATAAAAGCTTACCTGATCTTTGACATGTCATGTGTTGTGTAAGTCCCAATTCAAATGAAAAAATGGTCCGGCTCTAACACACCGTCCACTATTTAAACCTCATTGTTGCCACTTGGTCCCTCCCATGATTGGTTGTAAACTCATGTAAAAGACACGTATAATACGCATTGAAATTCTAAATTGGCCCAAAGCACTAAAGCATTTTTTTTTCAGTTCAGTCATAAAACAGGGGCAACAAAGACTGTTTTCTGTAAAATATCTGTCCGGAGAAGCAAATATTACCTAGAATTTTCTATTAGTTGACGTTTCATTCATGCACAATTTCCGAAGCTTATCTAATAAATTCCCTACGATTTTCTGAACTTTAATTTTTCACATTTCGCTCCCTAGGTTAGGCTATTTCTCGTAGACAAAAGGAAACCTAAATCAAAAATACAATAAAGAGAGAAATCAGAAAAATTCTCACTTTCGTAATACGTTAAATTGCCTTTAAAATTTTCGAGAAAATAATACTGAAGCCCTTCTTGGAATTCCGAAAAAACTTAAATTTTCCTAAGATGACCGAACAGATGCAAATCTTATAGCGGCACTTAGAATGCATTTCTGGAGACCTACACGTACTCTGGATAGCCTAAAAAGTGTTTAGAAGGAGACCTTCGTAGGTTGCCCTGCTAAAAAGAGGAATTGCAGGATGATTTTGAATTAGGACCTTGGCGATTAGGAAATAAAGAAATGAATGACTGAAAATATTCAAATACCGTTTCAGAATTCCATTTGTATCTCCAATCTTTTATCTTTCTATAGTAAGAGTGGAGTTTACCGCATTGAACCAGAGCTCAACGTCTCTCGAGGTGGAGTGGAACACAACTTTACCAGCTTTTCTTACATATGGCGATGAAAAGAGAGGATTTAAAATAGATTTTCAAAGAGCGGGAGATAAGGAAGTTAAAAGTATACTAGTCTGCAACAGTTCCAGTTATCTATTTACCGATCTGATGGTATTCACAAACTATTGTTCAAGCGTGGTGTCTTTCAACAATGACAAAATTGACACGAAAGTGGATAATTTCAAATGCGTGTTCACGGACGAAGAAGGTAATAACAACATCTGTGTTCGTCCGTGTTTTGTTTGCGATCCCCTTATGTTTACAGGCCCATGTATATATACGAAACATGTTCAGATACAGTCAGTCATTTTCATGTTCATTGGTGAAAAAAATTGAATTGAGTATTTCTTAACCTTTAAAGATTAATATAGAGTAGTATCTGTCTAGTATAAGAATAGATAATTAAAAATGGTTTACATGGAGGTGGGCGACCCCAAGTAGGTGAGGTACCCCCCTTTCGTGGGGTAGCCCGCCTGGCTTACAACAGGGTCTCAATGGGGTTAACCGATAGGCGTAAAACGGCCAAAAATTTAGTCGATAGCCGTAAAAATGGAAAAATTTTACCCATAGGGTAAAAAAGTTAACCGTAAAAGAAATTGTTTCTTAGATTTGTGTTAAACTCACTTATGACCGGTTGCGTCTCTTACTTCGCGGCTTCTTAAACTCCTTACGCACGTTAGGCCAAGCGCCTTTTCAGGATTCACAGGAGTCTTACTTGACTTCACTTGGCCTGTGTTTTGTACGACGAGTTGACAGCTCCTTCTTTTTAGATCTCCAATTTCGCCATGCAGTGTTCGCATGAGTAGTCTCCTTTGCAGCCGTTTTTTGGCTCGTAAGAACGGCTGCGAAAGTGACTAACATATGACTTAATCGATGTCAGTATTGAAAGCTGTTGTTAGTATTTTTCCAACGGGTGAAAAAAGGTCAATCGAAACACCCTCCCGCAACGCGAGACATTAGGAGCATTGGACACTTTCAACATTCAAGAAAAACGTTATTGTTTTCTTGATCTAAACGAGCAAGCCTGGAAATTTGGTCTAAAAACTGTAAAGCCTCGCCAAAATCAGCGGCAAAACAGAAAATTATTCTTTATCGACCCAGCAGCAGCTAAATCTGAAACTACCCCTGTTGTTGTTGAAAGCCAGCTGGAAAGTAAGTACCTTTAAATTCAGTATTGAATTCTATACTAAGATACCGCGTGGTATAAAGTTTTTGTGAGAGTTTTATCTTGACGATGGCAAAATAAAACTTCCGTAGAAACGTGTTTGCAAGAACTAATTTTTTCCTTAGTGAAAATCTGATTTTTTTTTTGTTGGGGATTAATATTTGCCATTTTCAGGAGGTCATGCGCTCGAAATAGTAGTGAAACAAAACGCAGAGATGTCACTGTCTGTCGATAAACTACAATTCCCTGTTTTTCTCTTTTCTCGCTACGGTAGACATTGTATACACTTTCTTTCAAGTTCTTTTTTACCTTTAAGTACTTATGGGAGCCGAGGTCGACTTGTAGCAAGTCCAGACATTGCCACGCCTAGCCCCTGTACGGTGTCTCCCGAGGCCTTCCCGGTCAAGGCATTTGGGTGGCGTATCCGAGACAAAATTAGCTCAGACCACGTGGCCCGAAACGCATTGGCCGCGTAGATTAATGAGGCCTAGGGACAAGGCAAAGAGTCCTTCGCTATCGTAAATATAACTGGACCCTAGAATTTTGTTATTTTTGTTATAACTGGAAGTCGCACCCCGGCCGCGAGTTGGGCGTTCGCGTGTCGGCTTTTGCTTTTTCACGAAGATTCTTTTTAAAGTAACCGTCTACATTTCTATGAGTAAAACACAACCTCGTGCCCAGGACGCTTTTCCGTGGCTTTGGAAGGAAAAGCGCCCTGGGGACGAGGTTGAGTAAAATAATATTAGAAGTGGAATACTTGAAAGTATGATCTATCAGATGTAACAATTTTTCAAAAGAATACCCTATTTCATCCCGAGATGATCCTAAGACCTTTATTTTGCTTAAAGATACAAAAAATACGGGTTTATTAATATTTAACTGATTGAAACAAAAGAAATTAATTTTTAACTTTTTTGTTAACCGTAACTGAAATAAATTAACCGATAGCCGTAAAAGAGCCAATACGTAGACCGGTAACCGTAAAAGCCACCACCTCATTGAGACCCTCTTATAATCTCTCATTTTTATTTGATCACGTTTTCATGATAGGTGGGTTGACCGGCACCCGCCGCATATCACATCTGCTATCTGGGGTCCCCCACCTCCATATAAACAGGCCCTTATTAAGTCTGTCTGAAGAAACATGATTCTAGGATTCACTTCGTTTTGTATAGGATTGTCTTGGAAACAAAAATTGTCTGTAATTTCCTTTTTAGTTCCTGGTGGCCCACCCTTGAGTTTAACAGCCAACAATGCCAGCTCTACAAGCATATTTGTATCTTGGAATCCAATTGAGGAAGAGCTACAGCACGGAATTATACTCGGGTATAGTATCGCCTACAAAAAAGAAAATGCTACTAGGCGAAAACGGCGAAGTCTTTCGTTTACAGATAATGTTGTCCTAGTGGAAAATATCTTGGCTTGGACTCTGGAGGGGCTTGAAAAGTTTACGGACTATTGCATTCAGATTGTGGGTTTTAATAGCAAAGGAGACGGGAATTCAAGCGACATTGTCTGTGTTCGCACAGACGAGGACGGTAAGCACTATATTCCTTTGTTATTGCATCGTCTAGCAATAGTGTATTAGCCTATTAGCATATACATAATATATGGTTTCCAGTTTGGTTTTCGAAAACCCAGACTCATTTAAAATACGATTTGTAACATGAATGTGTCCAAATTCCCTTACAAAATCATAAGCGGGTGCATCGCATTCTTGCAAAATTTTTCTGTCTGCTGTGTGCAGTATAAACCGAGATTAGCGTCAACTACCAGCTGTTTTTTGGGACTTAACTGAAGAGTGAGGCGAGAATAACACTGAAATAGTCAAAGAGTCTGTAGCGAGACTTGTTTCACGTTAATTAAATTGAAAAAGTCGACACACAATTAACACAGTAGTGATCTTCAAGGAAAAAAACGATCCAAAATAATGTAATGCCATCTGGACTTAAAAAAATAGGTTGATGTTAAAATTTGCCATCTTTGAAGACTCTGGTTGCCTCGATTATGGCAAAGTTCGAACAAATTCAATGAGAGCGATTGGAAAAATTTTGAAAGAAATTTCTAAGGGTCATAAACACAGTGAATTCAAATAAATATGCTATCGATATAATTTGCTCACATCTAAAGAAAATGTTGAGGCCTTGAAATGCAGTTTCATCTCATGGTGGTTTGTTACATACAAAATTGATTAAAAAAAAAGCAGCCGAACATTAGCCAATTAAATTTTACTTTCTCGCAATCCGCCAGAGCGACAACTCTCTTTTTCGCACACACTTTCAAATTTGGTGGGTATTTATACTGGGAGGAGGGAGAGGCTCCAGAGATACATGTATTGTAATCGTAACTTGTCACACATGTTAAAAAGTGATGGAAGTTGAGTTGATAAATGTGTGTGAATAATTTTCTAACCTTTACTCTACAGTTTGTGTGATTTACTATATTTTATGGTTACTACTTAGCCTGAACGCCTGAAACGCTTTAACAGTAGCAAATATAAAGATGACAGGGTAAATTTCTGATTTTTATCGAACCGTTCTCATTATTCTTAAGTTCCAAGTTTACCACCGAATATCACAGAGGGGTTCAACACTAGTTCAACAAGCATCTTCTTAAACTGGACTCAAATACCTCCCGACTTCATCCATGGATACTTGTTAGGTTACAGAATGACTTTATACCAAATTACAAGTAGTGGTGTCTATCAAGAAGCTGTTACGATCGATACTGGGCTTGGTGAGCTATCAAAAGACATTACCAGTCTATCAGTATACACTACTTACTGTATTCGTCTGGCCGGACGAACTCGAATTGGCCCAGGAAACTGGAGCAACTGTTTCAACGTAACGACTGATGACGAAGGTAAGGAGTTACCGAAACAAAGAGGGTTTCTATAGATTTCGGCCCAAAGGTCAATTTGGGAACCATAAAATTCAAATATTCTGGCCTTAAAGTAAAGTGAACCTCGAATTCAAAAGTGGAAGCGTGAAAATTGATAAGTTCGCCGAAATTCAAAAAAAGATGGTATAAAAATGACAAAAAGAGTAGTTAGTTGTCGAAAATCTGGGTTTTTCCAGGACATCTAAGTGTTCAGCATCGTTACGTTTCGTTGAAGTAAGCAGCTATTATCCCCAGGAATGTAATTGACATACGATGATCTTGTGTTCGCCTAAAGGAAGCCGTTTAAATTATTAATAGTATTTGCGTAAAGGAATCTCCAAGCCTGTACTGTGTCTACGCATTTAATTTAAATAAATTGCATGATAGTAATCGAAAAGTCTCTCAAGTATAGTCAGTCATTTTTATATCCCGTTATCTGCCCGTTTCTTGGGCGTAATAGCATTAGGCCTGTCTCACCAACTGATGCCCTGTATTACCATTCTCTAGTTTTACCTCTGCCTCCAATTGATGTCAAAGCTGTCAGTTTTACAAGTACCAACACCATGAACGTAACATGGAGTCCACCTCCCCTTTTATACGGTGAGATAACTGGGTATAAGATCATTTTTGAGCATCAATTGGAGGATGGTACCTGGCAAACACGAGAAGTCATGACTTGTTCAACTCAGACGACTCTAACTGGGCTGGACATTAACACTGAATACAGGATTAAGGTCGCTGCTAGCACAAGGAAGGGCTTCAGTCCCTTTAGCGAATTCGCCTATGGAGGTAATTATTTTAACACAAATAAAAAAAGCGTTACCTTTGAACTCATTTCTTCTCTCAGTTTCTCTTGGATATTTCCAGACGGGTTAGAAGGTCTTCCTGTATATCTTTTTATCACACTAATAACAGTTAAGTAAAATAATGAAACAATGGGCAATCACATAAGTAAAAGGAATGCTTAATATCTGGTACACTCCCTTTCGCTCCTAAGTTAGAGAGGAGGAAGATAAAAGGTGTTTGAAACTGTCACAATCATCCCTCACGGTGTATTTTAGTTGTGTCTTAGTAGGGTTTTATTGTGCTGTACCCATTCAGTATAAGAAATGTATAAATAAGTATCCTAATTACTGCAACTTGCCATATTTTTGTGTCTTCCAGAAACTTGCAGCTGCCCTGAAAACGTAACGGTCGTCGAGAATCCAAGTTCCCTGGACGACGATCACATCTCGTTGTCTAAAATAATCGAGGAACTAGTTGTTGACGCTTGTGGAACTTGTCACGCCTTTGGCAGAACAAATTTAATTAAGGTATCGGATTCAGAAGGAGACGTGAATATGAATTATCCGGTTGTAATAGCTAGCGGGAGCTTTTCAAAAGGCAAGTTCGTAGCTGTGATTGAAGTGCCTGGTCTAGCTGTTGTTCAAAGAAAGTCTATTCCAGGTGGTATGGAGAAAGTGATCGCAGTATCAGTGTTCAGTTCGTGGCCAGTATTTGCAATTTCTGGAGTCATGACCATCTTGGCTGGTTTGGTGATTTGGGTTTTGGTAAGAATAACTTTAAAACTTCTACTGACTCCTTAAATTAAATACAAAATAAAAAAATTGCGTGTATTACGTGAGTATTTATTAAAGACTAAGGTTACAGTTGTGGCCTTTAATTTGAATGTACATTAAAGGTCCAAGTACTTCTGGATTAAGTAAATCTCTTATGAAGCTTGAGAAATAAAATAACAAGCTTCAACCGATTTCGATGAAGAAGGAAGGAGCTGAAAGAAGCATTCAGAACTGATTAGTGTTAACAGTTTTTAATATGGTGCATCAGATATCTGATATTTCCTGGTCAGAGAAATCCAGTATCGATCAGAAGGGTATTGTTAGTACTGAACCAGTACCACTGTTTCATAAGGACAGAAAGAACAGATATGTCTTGTCATTGATGAAATGCACGCCTATCGCTTCGCTACCACTAAAACGATAAAATCTTTGGGCTGCCTAACTCTGAACAAGTGGGCTTGCCCAGTATCTCTATCTTGTAAATTGTTTTCTATTAATGACATATTGTGGCCTACCAGGGCTAGCCTTTTGGTTAACTGTGGGCCATGAAATTGAATATACAAATAACAGCAATAAAATTTGGTGATCTTGTCTAACAGTAAAAATTTTCTGTGAAGGATGTAACCACCAATCCAGAGGAATTTCCTCCGATATTTTATAAAGGTGCCGGAGAGGGGTTTTGGTGGGCATTTATCACCATGACAACGCTAGGGTAAGTAACAGGCTTTACTGCATGAGGTGTTAACGTTAGCTACTCGTATATTTTTTGTTTACATCAGAAAAGCCACAAAAACAACAGGAATAAGATTAAAGTCTACATTCTATCGAAAACTAAGCCATCTAATATCAGAGAAGGTGTCCAACCAAACTATTCACCAGGACCTGCCTTCGTTTTTACAATGCCTTTACTAGTATTCTCTTTCAAAAGCCGGTAATCCAGCTTTTACGGCTTTCAATTCCGCTTTACACGTAGGTAGTACTAAATTAAGCAAAGTCTTGAAAACCCGCTCTATGAGAAAAACGTGACCAATGCAACTTTTTTCGATCTTCTTGCAGGTATGGAGACCGAACGCCAAAATCCAATAGGGCCAAGTTCTTCGCCATAATATGGTTTTTAGTTGGCCTTGTCGTGTTTGGTCTCTTTTCCGCCGGTTTGGCATCAGATTTGACTGTGGTTGTTAAGGCTGGAGGAACACAGGGCTCAGGCACAAGCAAAGTCATGAAAGTAAGTCAACACCTCTCAGAAAGAGTTCATGAACTCGAATTCTTATTAATAGGCTATTTTAGCGTAGACCTTTCGAATTGCATGGCTTAATTTTCTTCTACCCTGTAGCCTTTTCTAGACTCTCAGTTAGTAGGGTCTGCGCTAAAACCCGGGCTCAGTGTCTCCTTAGTACCCACACGTTTGTTGTATTTACGTTTCTTTTTGCTCTGTTAAACTACTTTTATAAGGTCTAGAACAGGCTATTAATTAAAGTTTTTTTGAATTAATACACATACAGATTGCCACACTAAATGATTCCGCTGAAAAGCAAGTGGCGGTAAGACAGCTGATGAACAAATTTCAGCTTAGTAAGTGCCTTTCTTCCATTTAAAAAGTTATTATAACTGTTCGAGAATGCATTTTTCTTCGCACCTTTTATCGTTTTAATGCCGAAACCAGTTTGCTTCTTTTTTTAAAAAAAGTCTAAATTGGCGTACCCATAAAGACGATAGGTTATACATCGTGAAATTTCCAAAACTTTTTACCAGTCTGATATGCCGTGTGGCAGAACCTTTGTAAATCAAAGCCCTGTGCATTTCAAGTTGAAACAAGAAACCAAGCCAGTGACACACGCCAGTACCCTTACACATGCATACAGACATATCTTCCTGGCAATTCCCTTAGCAGTGTCAGTCAAGGACCCGTGAACAAACCTTACAGCAGGGATACGACTGCCATTTCATGCTGATAAGCCCTAATGAGTGTGAGACAGCTGTCCATGGCTGTCACTGATCTTCACTCTCCCGGTAATATGGCTGTGTGCATGCGTAAGGTACTGGCCAGGCCGTGGATTGGTGTATTTGTGCCCCTTGCTTTAAGTTTGTCTTACCCCTAGCTTATTGAGCGACCCGTTATCTACATTTCGAAATTATCTTCAGTTAAATTTAACCCCTATTAGGCGACCGCGGCCGCCTTTTGGTCATCCCAATGGAGTCCGACTTTTGGTCGAGGTGTCGAGGGTCGATTTTTTGTGTAGAGGGCTCATGTTTTTATGTTCATTATTTTTAATATTTTTTTTCCCTTTTTTAAGCGAGCAAAGTGCGCCAGACACGCAAAAGTTCAGTTTTTATTGTCGCTGACTCAGATTGCTGACATATGCATTGTAATAAAAGTGTACCCTAAGAAAAGAGTCCTACCTTTGTTCGAGGTATTTAAGAAAATATACTAAAGCGCGAAGTGAGCGAGGAGCGTCAGATATGTAAAAGTTCAGTTTTAAATAGTACCAACGCAGAAAAGGAGTCCAACTTTTTGTCGAGTTTCTTATGTTTCAAACAGGTTGCGTGAAAACTACCGTTGGAAAACAAGTGTGTGGAAGTGTTTGTTGGGGGAAGCGGTCATTGCACTAAGATAATTCTTGTTTGCAAGAATTGTTCATTTTCGGTCACGAAAGTTGCGCAAAATATATTCTACCAACCCATCGCCTTGTATGAATTTTTTGGAGGCATTGCCAGTTCTCCCTCCCCCCACTTCTAATCACGGCAAATTAAAAGAGAAAATAACGAATCACGAGTCATGGACTTTCGATTCCAAAACACGGAGTCAGGAAAGCTAATGCAAAAACTTATTGTGAAAATTATTGTGAAAATGAGCGGCAAATTTACCTCAACCGCTGTTCAGCTTTTTCCTGCGTCGAAACGCTAGCTCTACGCGGAAAGTGCGAAAAAATATTACTTTTTGTTTTTGTTTTGTTTTGTTTTTTCACGAATCATGACAAAGAAAAAAGCCAAACACGGTTTATGACGATAGTTGGAGACCACGAGGCAACGCATTTCGTAAGACAAGTACTTACAGAGATGCAATTTTTTTACGAAAACAAGGCACATTTTGTTAACAAAACAGCAACCTGGAAATGATTGGTCCATGAGTTATTTCTGCGATCTTGGAAGTCACGTCCGCTGTTCAGAGAAATTATAAATTTAATTGTTGACACGTTTCAGGATTTTCAAGGGATTTGTTGTTGGTGTTTAGAGTATACATGTACTCAATAAACATTCGTAATATCGTGATTAGGGGTGGACCATAAAAGTTGGGGAAGGAGAAAAAAACCGTCAACTTTGGGAAGTACACCGTTATTACAACGCATCTGTCAACACTCTGAGTCAGCGCTAATAAAAACTAAACTTTTGTGCGTGTCTGGTGCTCCTCACTCGCTTAAAAAACGCGAAAAAAAATTAAAATATAAAAAATCGACCCACGACATAGTACCCTCGACCCACGACTCCTCGACCAAAAGTCAGACTTGTTACAATAATAATTATTTCTTGACCATAATAGGCTACTTCCGAGTTCCAAAAACCCTCACTTTCAAAATGAGGCTAGGTGCACAACCTTAATCTTGTGAAAATGAGTTTCATTTGCATGAGAATGAAAAATGATTTCCTCATTAAAGGCTGAGCACCTACCTTCGTTTTGAAACAGAGGCCCGGGGGGAACTCGGAAATGGCCTATCGAATCATACAGTGATACAGATAAATTCCAATAGGCATGAATATGTTATGCAGTAACCCATGTTTTTGACACTTCACCTAGTTGCATATTTATAAACATGTATTAATGCATAGATTCCAATATATTTTATAAGCATTAAATTTATCAGGTATACTACCCTGACTCCAGAGGTCCCTTTTCAAAATACCTAGGATAAAATAAACCGTGCTAACGGTTTGATAAAACTTTGCCACAAAAAAATGACCTCTGGAACCCAGGGTACAGGTATACATGTACATATATCTTTTAAATTAATGCAAAAATATTTATTTAAAAAGAATAGAAAGTGAATAACAATATTGTCCCGAATAGCGTCCAATAGGTGCCCGCATTTACTGGAAGTTCTCATTTATTTGGACAGGTGGAGAATTCGGAACCCTAGAAGAGCTTGTTGATGCATTAAAAGAGGAAACGACAGATGCCATTTTAATAGATATGTATACACCAGTAAGAAGGAAAGACCTTTTCAATGGCTCATGGTTTGAAATCTCTGAGATAGTAGACAAAGGAATCTCGCACGGTATTGCTCTTGGTGGAATATCAGAAACGTTAGCCAAAGACTTTCAGGAAATGATACGCGACAGAAATGTCCAAACAAAATTTCTCACCGATGATGACGAAAATCATCAGCAGGTAATTGCCAACGAGCAAGCCGAGCGCATCCTCGGAGACCCAGGGGCAGAGAAAACTTGTGTTTTCTGGCACCAATCAGAAGTCAGAACGGCGGCGACCGTTTGGAACTGGTCTGGTAAGACATTGTCCTCAGGGGCTCTTCTCGCCGTTCTTCACTTTTCTTTTGTGCCATATTTTTCCGCCCGTTTAGACTTTCCCTCGCCCCCACTATCTGCCCCTGGGTCTCCGAGGATGAGCCGAGCGAAGACGGTTGGCTTGCGAGGCGGCCAGCTTAATGCTACGCGAAGTATTGTGACAAGCAAAAAAATCATGAAAAATTCTCGATCGTGCTACAAGGTGTAGATTCTCTGGGGATTTTCTTGGCGTTAGATTTCACGTGTAGTTTCACGTCACTTTTGATGACCCTTGTTGTAAACAAACGAACCTTCAAAGTTCGGACAATGTTCTCTGTCACACTCCCGTACTTGTACGAACTACAACTCGCTATTTCATGTTCACGCGAACCAATGAATGTTATTTCCCTTTCGCTGTTTGAAACTCGACAAAATTTTCTAAGCAGAAGAATAAGTAGAGCTATTTTAAGGCTAAGAGCATGGCAGAAATGTAGGAAAGAGAAGTGCTTGTAGTGGAAATTCTCGGCTCAGCGGCTAAAATGGTTTTAGAAACATTGGAACTAAAACCGGTGATGTAGGTAAATTCTTTTTCTTTCGTTGGCACTTAGCGAAAGCTACAACTAGTTAGGAATTGTACCATGACTGGTCCTCATTATGTGCGGTCAGTACTAGTAATTTTGCAGTATGTATTACTTTTCAATCAGTCAGGCAATTTTCTGGGCAAGCTTCTACGAAACCAACGCAGCACCACTGATTACGAGTTTTGCCAAAGATTAGCCTAATTTAGCGTTCAGTGTTGAATAAAACGCTTAGTAACGACCCGGGAGTAACTAAAGGATTGCATTATATTATCCTAATGTTTTTAGGAAGAAGAAGAAGAGGAGGAAACTGGTTTGGTGTTTTTTGAGCCAGGAAGCCCATATTTTGTACTCACCCTTGAAATCTGTGGGGGTCTGCTTGGAGGCTTCCTCCTATGCGGCTGCATCTTTGAAGCTTATCAGAGGAACAGAGGAGGCACTCAACAAACAGGCAAGTAGTTCAGTGCTGTATATGTTTGATATGTTGCGAAAGATCGTAGCCATGTTTTATATTGTTCCATATGAAAGATACATGGTAAGACTAAGAGAGGTTACCAATATGCTCTCTTGGTGAGGAAAGGTACGTTTTTTATTGGCGGGAGGGGGAGGGGGGTGGGCCCGGGCTTCGGAGGGGAGAGTCCTTAGTAAATTTTTTTAAAAATTGGGGAGGGTCAAACCTGTTTTATTCTCAACCCGGGGAAGGTCACAGTTTTTTTGGTAAGGAAAAAATTACTCCTTGTCGCTTCTATTTTGTATATACAAGCAAAGCAACCAGTCAAGATTAATCTAAATTATTTACAGGTGTCGAAAAATTTATATATCAAAAAACTATCTTCTCCCAACTAACATAATTGTCTCACTTGACCCGTGTCCGCTTACACCCATACTTTGATGTTTCCGCGAGGGGTTCTGGTATAAAATCAGTCTCTGTTGAGAATTCTTCACTTAAGCTACTCGGGCTTGAACAGACAACTTCGGGAACCATTGCACCCTAGGTCTTCATCTTTCCACTTCTCTGGACTTGCGCTTTCACTTGTTCCAGCAATAGAGTCAGAGGAGTAGCGGGCATCCTTTTTAGAATGGCGAGTGGGCAAACAGCTACAATAACCACAAGTTGCTCCATCTGACCACATGAAATCCTCGCATTCATCACAAGCACATTTCCTTCTTTCTATTCCTCGTACATCCTTACCCACTTTCAAGTTTTCACCGTCCAATCACACGCCACGCAATTAACTACTTTGTGCGCAGATGAACGCGGTTATATGAGTAACCCTTCCAGTTTGTTATTTTCACTTCCGGTTATTTTTGTCTTGGATAGGTAAGGGGAGGGTCAAATGTTTTTGTTTGGGTATTTCTGAAAGGTGATGCATTAATCCATTCCAGGAAGGGGAAGGGCCACGACTTTTTTCGCCAAAAAATTCTAAAATACCCTGGTCCAATCCCCCCCATAAAAACGTACCTTCCCTAAGAGGACTAGAGGGATTTGATGGGCCCATGCAAAAATGGAAGCATATGGTGAGTAAGGAGGAAGTAACGGCATCTTTCATTATAACGATGATTATGATTTGGAAAAAATTAATGTTAACATTCTACCAAAAATAGCGTTTCTGGGGTTCTAAAACTTCTAATTTCCATGAGGATTAATGTCCCAAGGACTCCTTATTTCATATGTACCTAACAGCGACTCTTACCAATCAGCTCGGTTTCGTCGTAATGTACAGGCAAAACTTGAATCGTGTTCCCTTTTTAGTTGGGGTGTCATTCCAAATATTTACGACTACAGGGATGGCGCAGATAAAAAATTTCTGCATAGAGGAAATACCCATCAAGTCCCTGCAATAATAATCCTTTATTTGCCCTCGGCAGTATTATAGCACTAATGCTAATGGAGCCGAGCAAATGCCTGAAACAAATAATTTAAATCAAGTATAACAGGGTTAAGAATCCCAACTGGTTAGAGGCAGACCAGCTGGTTATTTACAAGCATGGCCGAGGATTTGAACGCTGGATCACCGAGAACCAACCCAGCCAGCGGTTAGGGCGTAACTTGAACTCGGGGCCTCCGAATAGACCTTTTTAGCTTAAATGTTTTGTTTTTCCAATTCAGACCTCGCGATCTTCACCGGGGAATTTGCCTTTTGTCTTTACGTAAATTATTAACGATTTTCCTTTGTCCGCGAATGCGATGGTTTCCCTCAATGTTTTATCACGCTGGGCCCAGCTCGTTAGTGTTTTTAGGGCCTGTTTACATGGAGTGGGGGAGCCCGGTCTAGTGGGGTTGGTTTCTTTTGTTTTCACGCTCTGGGGGACACACAAAAAAAGAAACCTGCTCCACTAGACCGGGGTCCCCCACTCCATGTAAACAGGGTCTTGATCTCGGATAGTGATTTACAGATCCAAATTTCGAAAAATGTATTGCACCTTACACTGAAGCTGCATCAACTATGGAGAATTGCACTGTGACTCAGTCAAGATTGCTCTTTTGAATTACAGATCCAAAACAACAACAAAGCGTTAAAGTTTTCGAAAAAGCATTTTGGGAGATTGCTGGAAAAAAATTATCTGTTCACCCCACAAGACTGATGGAAGAGTTCCCAGCATCAACCTGCAACCTGGAGAATTTCACTGTGACTCAGTCCCGTAGATTTCTAGACTTCTTTGACACCCTGAATTATCTTTTTCCCAGCAACACTTTCCTTCCAGGGACTATTATTTCTTCCACATCTCCCAGCCAGCAAAAATTTGCCTGAAGAACAGATATTTTGAGGAACAGATCCATTGGGTGCCCCTGGAATTAGCTTAACAGTCCTGCGACTGTTCTGTTATTGCCACTTTCTTATCAGGCAAGACAATGGTTTCGGTTCTCCACGCGAACCTCATCACTTACCAGGTTGTCTTTGTTCTTAGTTGCTTTTACAGGAACAAATTTATTTGTTCTGCTTTGTTCCGTGGCAAGAACGGTAAGCCGTTCTATCTAGCTGAGCATGTCCGTGACATCACTTGTTTACCCACCGTTGCCGCACGGGGGATGCAACTTTGCGACGTGAAAATCATCTGATAAACTCACGAAGGAGAAATTCTGCGAATAAGTAGGAAGTGCAAGTCTAGTTAAGGAATTTTAAGTAAACCAGGGATCAAGTAAAACGCTTTTGACCCTCTCGGCGAGGTTTTTCGTCGTTTTGACAGTAAGTTTTATCAGAAAGATGACTGAGAGAAAATGAGCATTGCTGGAGTTTTGGCGACTTTTCTTCAATGGTACGTATTAAAACGATTTACTTCAATATTGTATTACCTTATTACGTTTGAAGAAGAGCAAATCTTTGTAATATAGCCGAGCGATGACTCTTGTGGGTCGTTTCTTGGTGGCACGAAAGCGGGCAATGAGAGCAATGATGCCATCAGACATAAGAATTTATGCTTAGTTATAGCGCTTTTAAACACACAAATGTTAGTGCGATGAAAGCACTTAATTTTGTTTGCGTACTGGTTTGTCCTAGAACCAAAAGGTACTGGCCGAGCTGCAGAAATATTTTTTTAAGCTTGTTCATTTGTTTAATTTTTTGCACTTTTAAAGTTTAAAGCTTGTGAAGTTTTGAGAAAAGAAAACACAAATTGACTGAGTTCCATGTGAGTTTTCGTATTAACTATAAGTTTACCATTTATAACAGGTTTGACTGAAGCAGAAGCAGAAGAATCAAGAATCAAGGAAGATCTAGACTTCAAAGAGAAAAATTAAGACAGAGTAAAGAACAAAGAGAATATAAAAAAAAAAGAATAAAGAGAGTCTACAAAGAGTCATATTGTGCTTCCCAGGTAATGAAGCTTTGAGAAAACTTCAAGTCATTGATACTTTTTTACCAGCAGCCATCGATTGTGTTACTTACCTATTTTCTCTTTTCACATTAATCTTGATTGTTGTTGTATACTGGTAAATGCAATAAAATAGCTCTTGTGAGCTGAGATGAGAATGGGTCAAGCTTTCAAAGGTCCATAATAATAAAGGCTGCCTTTTATTAGAGAGTGAAGAGGGTTAGGACCTCTGATAAGACTCTGTATTGCACCATCTCTCTTCACTGAATGTGATTCTTCTTTGGCTCTTTGGTAAAGGGTCTTCTTGATCAATCATTTAGCTCATCTAACAGCTTCCAAGTCTTGCCATCACTTGATAGTAAAATTGCTACCCCTTTAGTTCTCACTTCTTTAATTTAAATGTCAGTTTGAAGACAGTTTGTAATTTGAGATGAACAGGAATTTTTTTCTTTGGCAAGGGGAGACATGTACATTAGTTAAATTATTTCTCATAAAGGAAAAAATACCAAACAATCACTTCACTTTTTTAGCCCGGTGTGTAAAATGTACTCAAAATCAGTTTATTCTTTTAATATTACATTGAGCTGAATTTGGAAGTTTTTTTCTTGGGTAAGATCCACTTATATTGGCTCGTTGATTATTTATTACTCTTGTTAACCGTGTATAAATACAGTATAAATTCGTGATCAGTTGAGCAACAGTTGGGTAACAATTTTAACAAAAAAAACATAAAAAAGGTTTTACTTTTGGATATATTATCATTTTCTGGTGAAAGAAGAGGATATCAAGAAGCCAAACTCAAGAACACAATTAAACAAAGTGAAGTCAGAAGTACCCGACTACATGTTCATACTATAAATAAAAACCTTGAAAAAGAACTTAGCTGTTGATCATTGGCTGTCACAATTGTCAACTATTTGCATCTATTTCATGAATTAATTTCTTTATAGTCAAAAGTAAGGTAAAATGAAGCTAACTCAAGGATTACAGCTAGCTTGAATTTACAATTACAATTACATACATAAGTTTCACAAATGAGTCGGTGACAGTTATAAATCACAGGTTAGGCTTGCTCTCGTTCAGAGACTGAGCAACTGCGGAAGATAGTTTTTCAGATGCTCCATGCACCAGAGCAAGACTGAATTAAACTATTTAGATTCAGCACGAAATTTTGGTGGCCTAGATTTGTAGTCTAATATGTACTTTAGTAGTAAATCTGATTGCAATAGCTGGATAGTGGAAGAAAGAAGAGAAACCTCTGTGAGTTTTTTTTGTGTTCTTACAGTTCTCATAGTGAAACCTAGTGAAACAAAGCGAGAGGAATAACAGAAATTAATAGTCGATCATTCAAGGAAAAATAAAGATAAATATCAAAATGTTCCTTTAATGCTGACACTGATATGAGATGCCCGGCAGATCACATGTTGATAAGCCGTCGTTCATTTATGTTTACGCTTGAACATGTAAACATTCGAATGAACGAACTGTTCTGCTTCGAACGTACATCTTCTTTTGTTCATACCAAAAAATGCAAGGAAAATTACAAAACTATAAACGAGAATTAAATAAAAAATGGAATAATCTACCTTTACGTTTAAAAGGAACCTTAAATAGTCAGAATCCACCTTAAAAATCGCCAAAATGTG